TAAAAGTTATATTTATGGAAATGAAACTGACGTAATCACAGAAGTCTGTATAAATACATGACCTCGATCGACTGCAATAACTCCTCGTAATTAAAGCACAAGTTGGATGATAATTGATACCTAGAAAGCCACGGCACATTGAATGGAAGCCAACCAATTGAGGAAATTGAGACACCACGCAAACTTTATGAATTGATTGCTTGTGAGGTTGTTATAAATACATGCACATGCCATGTCCCACTTGCATAAGCTAGCCTTAATTAGAAAGGCAAAAAATAAAAAATAAAAGCTAGAGACTAACTGTTGTAATATATATAGTTTTTTTTTTTATTGGATATTTTTCCTGTATTTATTATTATTTTTTTGTTGTATTCGACGAATCATACGTGCCAACAATGTTGAACTGCCAGCTCAAGGGGTTCTGAAATTTCGAATTGGAACTGACTCGTAGTATATATAAACATGAACACATAAACATGTTATTACTAGTTATAACTCATTTCTTTAACAAGACTGATGTTGGCCTAGACCTAACTGTTCGAAAATAATAAGTTTTCAACGTATACTGCATACTTATAAACTAAAATGTAATTCTAAAAGAATAATATAAACAAAAATATGATATTTTTTTTATATATAGAAGTATGCATTTTTGTTATAAATGTACAATCAACTCGCCTAATAGTTAGATCGTTACACATGGATTTATACATAATTTTTATGTGTGTGCATTCTATCTAAATGAATTATTTTACATAAAAAATTTTGTGTGAGACAATCTAATCATTAGACGGATTGATATTATATTTTTACAAAAATGCATAGTTACTTATGTATTCTCAAATGCCATATATTTGTATAATTTGTTTTATTATGACAATTTAATTTAAAACTATTCATATTTATTGAATAAGTGACCAAATTCTTATTCGTCTAACAACAATCTTACAATATTTTAAGATTATAGTTATATATCTTTGTTTCTTTTGTTATTATTTCAGACTTTGTGGATATTCTTTCTCACAGTAAGCAAAAAATTCGTCAAAATTAATTGCATGTCACTTTTGGAAATTTTTTGATTTTTTTTTACTACAAAAGCATGCAGCATTGAATGCTGATGTAAATTTAAGATTTTAAATTCCTTTTCATTTTAGTTTGAACAAATAACATGTAAATCTGAACTTTTTCAAACAATATTTTTTCAATATCTGTTCAGTTGTTTGTTATGTTTTTGTGCTTATTTTATTGTGTTTTATTTGCTTTAGTCGAGTCGTTTTTAGGTTCGTTTTAGTGTTAACCGGTCCATTTTGTCGTGTTTTATGTGTTTTCGTTTTTGTTACGTGTTTTTGTATTTTGCCATGTTTTTGCGTCTCTTTTGGTGTTTTGTTTAGGTCCGCATTTTAATTCTGGGAAGACTTGTCGTTTGTGCCATTTCAAGTCATTTTCAAGCGGTCCGAACTACCCGAACCATTTCGAGCCATCCCGAGAGATTTTTGAGTTAAATCATGCTGCCAGGCCCAATTCGCGGCCCCAATGCATTTCCGCGGACTTGCGAAAAGCTCCCAGACCTCAATTCGCGGCCCCAATGTCATTTCGCGACGTTGCGCGTGCTAACCTGCTAGCCCCATTGTCAATCCGCGGCCCCAACTCATTTTCGCAACGTTGCGCGTTCAGATTTTTAGTAAATGTGTGTGTTTTTAGTGTGTGTTTGTGTTGTTGGTATAAATAGACATTTTTGTGTGTATTTTGGGACAACCCCCTCATTTCCCAACTCTTGAGTTGGGAAAAATCCTCTCCCTTCTCTCTTGTTCTTTGCTTGGTTTGGAGGAGGTCCTCACTTGACATTTTCCGGCGAGTTTTCCGGCGAGTTTTCCGGTAACTTTTCTGGCAACTCTCTTTTTATCTAAATTTCATTCTCTACGCATTATTTTCGTTTAATTTTGCTATAGGAAAATAGGTACCTAGCTTAGGGCTTATTATTTCGATTTGTGATTTGATTGGAATGATGTGTTTAGAATCGTTTTTAGACTTTGTCTTATTTTCATTGCTTGTTTACGTGTGTTAGGATTCGATACGTGCTTATCTAGTATAGAGGTCCCGACTTTCTCGAAGCGGGATGATCTAGTGTAGAAGGCTCGTGTTCGGATACCTAGGATCACTAGGCTCGCATGTTTTCTTTTTGTTGTTTTTATTTTCGTCAAGTGTGGAGACTCCGTGCAACCAAAGTTCGACATTTCTTTCGATTCTTGCTTTTTCATTAATTGCTTTTAAATTATTAGAATAATTTAGTGTAATCAACCCACAATCAAGCGAGTAGAATGTTTAGGACCTTATTTTCGGTTGTGTGAATTGACGACTAGATAGTGAACGAAGCTCCGAAGAGCCTTCCTTTGAGAACGACCCGAGTCGGGTAACTCGGTTACCACATGCCCAAAAATACTACAAACATCAGTTAAACTTTTTTTAAATAATAATCTTTCAACTAACTAATTCTTAAATCTTCTGTATTCAACTTACACAGTTTTGCTATGGAGCCATCGGATGGCTCGACTTATGGAGCATCTACACTTATTCACGAATAGTGTCAATACATTAAGTGATGGATGGCTCCATAAGAAAATCATCCGATGGCTCCATAGAATTTCTGTCAACCCTTACAGAAGTTGTCATAATTCTCAATATATCTTAATATTTATTTTATATATGTTATGTAAATCATCATCTCAATATTTATTTTATATATTCTATGTAAATCTTTTCATCTTCTCTCAACAAATTTAACGCGAGATATTATGTCAGGCTCATAATATTTTATATTGTTTAAAACATACATATTGTTTATACGATTTTTTTACACATTTTATCTAACTATATATGCATTTACAAATACAAATATACATATACATATGTTAAATTTAAATATTTTTAGACATGTTTTCTTTAAAAAATAATTTAAATTTTTTTAGGTGAATACACGTCTTTTTAAATAGTTTGAGACATGTTTTCTTTACAAAATAGTTTAGAAAATTTTAAGTGACTTCACATCTTCAATAATGATATAAAAATTTTAGATACTTTTACATACGTTATATAATATTTTACGCGTTTTTAATATTTTAAACATACATTTTTTTATGTTATCTAATGCAAGATAATTTTATATTGTTTACAACTGATATACGATAAATTATACAACATATTAACTCCACATCTTTAAGTTATAATTATTAGTTAATATCGTTTACCCACATCTTTAATTTATAATTATTATTTAATATTGTTTACTCGTGCAATAAATTATACCACATATTACTATATCTTTAATTTATAATTATAGTTAATACTCCCTCTGTTTCGTTTTAAATGTCGTTGTAGGGTGTCAATTTTTTTGCAAATTAATTGTCGTTGGAAATATTATATTCATTCTTACATCTTTATTCTCTTTAACAAACATTATCTCTTATCATTATCTTTAAAAACCACCCATTAATAATTCAAAAACTAAATTTAACAAGATTAAAGAATAAGATTATTACACAACCCATTAAAATCGTAATTTAGAAGTTTTAAATTAAAACGATATTTAATAAGAAACGGAGGGAGTATTGTTTATCCACACCTTTAATTTATAGTTATTATTTAATATTTTTATCCGTGCATTACACAAGCTACGCACTAGTCAACATAGAGAAAATAAAAAAAAGTCTTCCAATAAACTAAACACATGCATATAGGAGCGGCCCTTTGGTACACCTCACCAATTAGTATTATAGTAAGTAAAATCAATTTATTGGTTAGTAATATTCTTAAAAAAAAATTTTAAAAGAATATTAATTAATTAATTAATTAATTTTTTTTAATATCTACACTTGTGTATGAAAGGTGGCCTTCCAGATAAATGAAAGGGCAGGTACAGTTAACAATATGGTCTTCCAAATGAGCCGGCCTATAAATACTAAATAGTAATAATAGAAAATATGCATTTAATACATTGCATTTTTTGGTTTGTTGGATTATTCTTGCATCTTTTTTGGCTTGTTGCCCAAACATTTGAAGATTGCATGAGATTGCATTTTAATTTAAAAATGTTATTTGTTGTCCGATAAATCTTTATTTTAAAAAAACAAATTGTACTATGTTTAATTATATACACTTGCAAGCTGAGTTGAAAATGAAGCTAAGTTGTGTTCAAAGGATCGTTTTTAGGTTAATCGATTCTATTGAATTGATTTAAATCTTTACGAAACAAATATTAAAAAACCGTTTAATTGCATAATTTTACAAATGATATGCACTTAATAACGGCCTGGGCTTAGACATAGCCACGATCTGGTCCGGCCCGTCGGTTTGGCCTGGAATTGATCTGTGGTCGTTTGTTTATATAGTAGAACTTGTTAGTAAATTGTTCGAATTATTCGACAAGTTCGTGTTCGTGTTTGTTGACTTATTTCTTTCTTTTTCTAATACCATGCTAGTTATTTTATTTTATATTTAATATATATCCTTATTTGTATTATATCATATATGTATATACTATATATAATATATAAAATTATAAAATACTATATTATTATAAAATACTTTTTGTGCGCAAACGATCGTTTAGTTCATAAACATGTTCGTGTTCGTTCGATAACTAAACAAGCATAATTTCATGTTCGAGTTCGAATAGATTACTAAACGAACAAGCTGTTATCAAACATGAACAAACACGGTGAACTTTGTTTGCGAACAGTTCGGTTCGATAACCACCCGCTTGTCACCAGCAACTCCTGACCCATGACTGTGACTGGTGACCCACTCGACCGGGCCTGAAAGCATATTGTTATTCTGGGCCAAATTTGTAATATTACTTTTGGTTCACATTTGTTAGCCCACAGCGGAATTGGTCCAGTAACTGGGCATCAATGGGCTTTAGTGCAAGTGACTTGTCATTGAATAAGACGAATTTAAAGCTAAAACAAAGAAAGTCGTGGTTTTTAAATTTTACCACTAGCCAGCCTGTGATCAAATTTGGGGCTAAAAAATTAAAAATCACAAATTCACACTTTGTAAACCCTAACGCACCTTCTTCAATTTCCAGACACTACTTCCTCCGGCGGAGTACGAGCGGCATGGCGTCGGCGGTTCAGAGAGGAGGTGGTACGCGGCGGGCGATGGAGGAGACCGACGCGAAGCTTGTCTTCGAGACGTCGAAGGGCGTCGAGCCTATCATGAGCTTCGACGAGATGGGGATTAAGGACGATCTCCTCAGAGGTATTTACAATTACGGTTTCGAGAAGCCCTCCGCCATTCAGCAGCGGGCGGTGCTCCCTATCATCTCCGGCCGTGACGTCATCGCACAGGCGCAGTCTGGTACGGGCAAGACGTCCATGATTGCGCTCGCTGTTTGTCAGATTGTTGACACCAAGTCCTCCGAGTACGTGTTTTTCTGCTATAATAAGCTGTAATTTTGGTTCTTCGGACGTTGTTAGAGTGTTGCTTTTGTAAGCGCGTATGAACTGTCTAGTTTTTTGCTTTTCCCCTCCATTTGGAGATTGTGATTTCAGTGGATTCAATTGACTTGAATAGGGTTTGTCTATGGTTGATTAAATGCACTAACATTTCAGTGGGTTCTTATTGCTTGATAAAATACTAACTTTTAGTAATTTGATGTGTCTAACTTTCATATTATCCAACAAATGCTTCGAAATTGACCTCTTTTTATTTTGAATTAAGGGTTCAAGCCTTGATATTGTCTCCTACGAGGGAGTTGGCGGCACAGACAGAGAAGGTAATACTGGCAATTGGTGACTATATAAACATTCAAGCTCATGCTTGCATAGGAGGCAAAAGTGTTGGCGAGGATATAAGAAAATTAGAGCATGGCGTTCAAGTTGTGTCGGGCACACCTGGTAGAGTTTGTGATATGATTAAGAGGAGAACCTTACGAACTAGATCAATCAAATTGCTGATTCTGGTAATATTTACAGAGCTGCTTCTTTCTGTTAATATTATTCGGTTCATTTAATTATATCTTATTTGAATGCACACTTAACCAGGTTTTGGTTTTCATTACATTTTTTTTTTTGTTTCTGGTACTTTGGTAGGATGAATCGGATGAAATGTTGAGCAGAGGGTTTAAGGATCAGATTTATGATGTTTACAGATATCTTCCACCTGAGCTACAGGTTTTCTCCCTCTCCTCTTTCTTTAGTCTCATTCCATCCCCTCCATTCTCCTCTGTGCTGCGTGATTTTTATGTTCAATATATTTTCCATGCTGGGGTACCTAGGGCTGACCTATTAAGTTAACGAAACTTTAAATAGGTAGTAACTAGTACACAGACATGGTAAATATCAGGGTACCTTATTTTTATTTTTTCTAGTGAAGGAAAGATCTTGATGTAGCTATTTATATAAACTTGAAATTGAAATCGAAATTCTGTTTCTTTGACCGGCCTAAATATCATTTACTGGTTAAAATTTTTTCATTGAGGAATGCACTGTTAATAGAGAAAATGCATGTTTATAGCATAAATTTTCCTCTTAATGTGTATGGCTATAGGTTATTTACGTATTTATTTGTTATTATGGATGCCTATATCTATTTATTCATTATGCTTGCACTGTAGGTAGTTTTAATCTCTGCCACTCTCCCAAATGAAATATTGGAGATGACAAGTAAATTCATGACCGATCCCGTTCGTATCCTTGTGAAGCGTGATGAATTGACACTGGAGGTGGGTGTTCTTTTATCCTAATATTGTTTTCTGTAATTAAATACTCTTTCAGTTTTCTTTAGAAGTAGGGAAACCTATTTTAGTACCTTACGCATGTTTGACTTGTTGGCTCATTGGTGTATCTGAACCCTTTGTTGGTTTTCCATGATTTTATGTATTTCAGGGCATCAAGCAGTTCTTCGTAGCAGTAGAAAGAGAAGAATGGAAATTTGATACTCTGTGTGACTTATATGATACCCTTACCATTACCCAAGCTGTTATCTTCTGCAACACTAAACGTAAGGTAATCTGCTGCTGTCCATAAATTTCTGTTGGACCTTTGGTTGCTACTATACGTACACTTATTGTGATTAATGAAATAAAGTTTTGTTTACTTCTGTCACTCATTTGTCAGTATCTATGGTTTAATATATTGTTTTTATATTGAAATTTACATAGCCATAATTTCCGTCAAAGCCTCTGATTTGGATGGCAGGTGTCTGCAAGTGCTACTAATTTACTTTTTAGTGATAAAGGAAATGAATAGATTTAAGTAATGAGTAAGGCATAATAGGAGCACTATTTGCTTTGCTATAAACGTAGTGAACCTAATTTTGGGAAACAACCGTCTATACGTCACGTATTTGGTGGTCCATAAGAAACTTACCTGTAGCTTGTTATAATGAATAAATAGCATTATAAAGCTGGGTATTGGTACTGCATTTTTTGAATGCTTTACCTTGTGTATTGACAGGTTGACTGGCTGACGGCAAAAATGCGCGAGAATAACTTTACTGTCTCTTCTATGCATGGAGATATGCCACAAAAGGAGCGAGATGCAATCATGGATGAATTCAGGTCCGGCCAAACCCGAGTTCTTATCACAACTGATGTTTGGGCGAGGGGAATTGATGTTCAACAGGTATATCCGAATTCATATTTTTCACCTACTCCCATGTTTGAAAATTTTGCCCATCATACTAGTGCCAGTTCTCTGACAATTTAATAGATATTTTAAAACCGGTATATTCTTTCTGTTGTTACCCTTATCTTTCCACGAATTAAATAGTTAGTTACTTTGCATTTGATTTCGATAGGTTTCTCTGGTGATCAATTATGATCTCCCTAATAATCGAGAGCTTTACATTCATCGTATTGGACGGTCTGGCCGTTTTGGGAGAAAGGTATTTTCATGGCACGCTCTCAAGACATTCTTTGTTGTCATTGTAGTCTTTATTAATCATAGTACTGTTGAGTAGGAGATTCTAAAATCTCTTGGTCCTTGACTATTGCAACTGTCCCGTAGATTGGGGCAGTACATGGGTCCGAACTCATAGGGAAGAAAATCGATTTATGGATGGAATAAAAAATGCAGTATTTACAGAGTATTCTGTTATTGGGGAAAAATCAATATACTTCTAATGTCGAATCAGGATTAACTAGGACATATAACATGGATTATTGTGATTATCTTGAGCCTCTGAGAATTTCCATACCTTCTATAATAGTGGATGGGATTAAGATTTTGCAATTCTTTTTATTTTCCTCATTTATTCTTTACTTTTTTAAAATATGAAATCCGTGCAGTTTTCGTTTGTAATTGTTCACTCACTAATGTGAGGTTTGTGATGGTTTGCAGGGCGTTGCCATAAACTTTGTTAAAAGTGACGACATCAAAATCCTGAGAGACATCGAGCAATATTACAGTACACAGATTGATGAAATGCCGATGAATGTTGCTGATTTGATTTAACCTTTTGGTTAACTCGGTCAAATGTAACGCTGGCAAGATTTGCTGACTTATTTAGTTACACCTTTGAAGGAACCGTTGACTGATGCTGTTTGTTTTCTGCTTGGCATGTTGTTTCTTTCTTTTTCCTTTTAAACATCCTACGGGGTTTATTGTAATATATTTTAGAATTTCAATTTGTTAGTGCTGTTGTTTTGTTTTGTATTGAAGGAGGACCCATTTGAGCTTAATTTCCCAAAAAAAAAATGGCACGGTAATCTTTCAAGACTGATGATCTGAGTAACTGTGTGGATGTGATGTTACAAAAGCAATGGTTATCAACATGAAAATAGCTCGGAAATGGCTCCAATGGTACTTTTTTCAAATGGCTAATTCTGAATTTTCTTGTGAAATATTTAGTTTGATTGGAGAGGTTCTTATTGTTGTTCAGACACAAATTTGATCTTCGGCCAGAGGATTGATTTTTTTCTCCTTTAATTTCTTGATTGCTTAAATTTTGTAAGTGTTGAGTTTTGGTGCATGATCTAGTTCATGCAGTTTTAAACTTTATTGTTTAAAACTCTACAAGTTTTTTACTTGTTATTAGTTTTTCACGATATACTTTTAAGATTTTTAGATATGATTTTCATATTGTGTATATGTGTACAATTTATATTTACCTTTATAAATAAGAATTCAATTATCAAATAAAGCATAATTAAAAATAAAATTTATTAATTAAATAAATTAATCTATCAAATCTACTAGTATATGATAAGAGTTAAAAAATTTATTATAATTGATGAGTGTCATGTTAAATAAAAGTAAAATTGCAACTTGGAGGAAGTATTTGAGATTGTTAAACAAAATATTATATCTCTTATGTTTCAAATAGATAAATGTTTTTAATTAAAATTCCTATAATACATGACTGTTGTATTTTCGCTTTGGGCCGATCAATATTAGGCCGAACTAACTAATTATATTATTTTTCTTTAATCCAGAAGCCCAAGTACCCGACCCAACAACAGATTTTCATTTTAATAAATCCATCCACGAGGACCACGAGCCCACGACTCAGTTCAGTCATCTTCTCTCATCTTCATTTTCCTTTCCCACTGCCAGCCGCCGTTCGCCGCCGCGACCACCTCTCTCTCATTGGTAAAACATTGTGATTTACATAATATCGTGCGTTATGATAGGTAGTATCTATACATGTTAACAAATTTAAGAATCGGTGTCGGAAAAGCCAGAACGAGCCATTAACTGCCAAGACCCGTCGCGTCGAGTGTGCCGTCGTTCGGCGCTGTCGGAACTTTGTAAATCGTGTACTGAATTCAAAGCTTCGTCCCTGGCTTCGTGTGTGTGAGCGGTAGGTATTCTGTCTGACTGTATTTTGGTACTGAAATGATTACAGTTGAAAGTTCAGGGACGAGCTTTAGAGAGTTTGATAATGTTTTGGGACCTAAATGTTATATTTTAAGTTTCTATTACTATATCTAGCTGTGCACTGTCTCTCCGGATTTATGCTGTTTGGACCCTTGTAATGTAGCCATCTATTCGTAGCTCCGGTGTCTTGCCTTTCCGTAGGAGCAAGAATCAATCGAATATCTATTTTCTAGTAAAAGTTAGTTAGTTATACTCTGACTGTGTATTGTTGCCTGTCCAGATTTTCAGCAGCGATGCTGTTCAGTTGAAGCTCGTTTTCTTCATTTTTACGTATCCGTTCATGTTTGAAGTTTACATAAGAGTTTTAGATGTGTCTTGGTGTTATATTGGAGCAAGAATCACTTCAGTTTTTGTTTTCTAGTTGAATTACGTTTAAAATACGAACACTGGACCTGACTGTTTGTTGTCAGGTTTTGCAGTCAGCAAGGTTGTTTACTTGTTTTGTTGCTTTCTTTATGGAGTTTCTGAACCGGTGTAGAATTGTTAATTCCAGTGAATACCATTTTGGACTTGTATGTTTGCAGAAGCTTCCGTGGTAGTGCCTTGTTCTATTAAAACTTAGTAACTTAAAGAAGCTCTCACAATAGTGCATTGTTAGTTTAGACATAGTTATACTTACTCTGATACAGTTGACTTGTATATTATTTTTCCATATTCTTATTTGGGGCGTGAAAAAACACCTATAATCAAATTACAAATTTACTTAATATAACAAACTCATTGGANTAAAAAAAAAAAAAATTCTTTAGCTCATTTCTTTCAGATGGCTCTCTTTACTCCAAACTTTTCTCTCAAAGTTTCAACCTCTACTGTTCCTCAACGCCGTCGGTTTGTGGAATCCCGACGTATCACTCCAAGGGCTTCCATTGCAGTCGAGACAACTTCATCCTTCACTGTCGATGGCAGTGCTCCAAGGCTCCTCCTCGAAGTCAAAGACCTGTCCGCCGTAATCACCGAGTCCAAGCAGCCTATCTTGAAAGGTGTTAACCTCACTGTCTATGAAGGAGAGGTACATAATTTTTTTAAACTTGCGGTCTGTTAAGTTTTCTTGGCTGAAATCAAGCATAATTTCATAAAGGATGGCTGTAATATATGTTTGTGATATATTTGTTCACTTAAATAGGAAAGCTGAAATTGGAATTTAGGAATGTAAATAGTCAAAATCGACTTTAATCCTTCCACCCTCAAAGTAGTTGTGCAGAGTGACGCAATGAGTGTTTGATTTTTGGGATCTAATGTGGTTGTTGAATTTGAAAGGTTCACGCTGTGATGGGGAAGAATGGTTCTGGGAAGAGTACTTTTGCGAAGGTTAGTGATGCTTTTGGGTACGTATGTCGTTTTTTAGGTGGATGGATACAGTATATGAATCGAGATTTTGTATTAAATGTAGTGTTGGATATGACTGTTTGATTATTAAACTGCACCAGGTTGAGCTTGTACACCCTTGTAATATTCATTTGGATTCTACATCTTTGTGGATTATATTTGTCTCATTTGAATCAAAGTAAGCCAAGAGAAACTCGTAGTTTCAATATATAGCTTTAGACTAAAATTGTATTTGTCGACATATTTATTTGACATATAAAATTATGATATTAAACACCAATTCCATAGCATATCTACTTTACTTTGATCATGCATGTGGTGACTTTGTTAGTTGGTGACGTTGGGCATTAGATGTCCAATTTCACAGGTATTATTTAGCTGAGGTTTTTAGTTCACTTGGGGAAATTGAAGGTATTCATTTTTTTATTGTGAAGTTACAAGTTGTCTTTGTTTTAACTTGTAAGTTATGTTTCAGGTGCTTGTTGGCCATCCGGATTATGAAATTACTGGAGGAAGTGTATCATATAAAGGACAAGATTTGTTTGAGATGGAACCTGAGGAACGAGCTGTGGCTGGCTTATTTATGAGCTTCCAGTCTCCAGTTGAAATTCCTGGAGTAAGCAATATTGACTTCCTGAACATGGCATACAATGCCCGAAGGAAGAAACTTGGATTACCAGAGCTTGGGCCAATTGAGGTAGCGTATTATTATTGTTTTATTTCTTATTATCGTCTTTTATGATAATTAATTTACTTCATCTTTGTAGAGGGGACAATTGTAGAACTCTCATTTTGAAGTTCTTTCATATTATTGAGAGAATAGTAATAAATTGGTTTATGAAAGAAGAATGAAATACTTTAACAGTGATTGAATATGAAATGAAAAGGTAATAATAGAAGTCGATTTGATATAAAACAGTAAAAGGGTGATGGTAATTAGAGTTATGTGAATTGGTGATTAGTGAAACTTGAGGACAAATGTATACTAATGATTAGTGATTGAATGATTTTTATTAATGAGTTGAAGTGAGTAGTGAAACAAAAAAGTGAAAGTGAATGAATATCATAATTTCATATTTTTGGCAAAGAGATGAAAAAAATGTCAGAAGATTCTCTAAGTGAAATGGTGACCGGGTGCGCCTGTAACAATTCATATTGGAGAAAATTGGATAATGTTGACTCAAGACCATGGAGATATAATTATCTAACACAAAAAAATCCTAAAAATATCTGAAATCTGAGGTTTTGATGTTTATTGTCCTCATAATTTTTTTCATGCAGTAAAAAATCCTTTCTAGTACGTGTTTTTGTTCTTAATTTATATACATATTCAACTGCCTCTCCTTTTCGTTAGTTCTCTTTTTTGCATGAGAGTTATATCTAATGCAATGCAATTTGAAGTGTACCAAGGGATATGTTTATATTTAAAGTCATTATTGAAAAATGAATTGTTGCAGTTTTACGCCTACGTGGCACCTAAGCTCGAGCTTGTGAATATGAAGATCGACTTTTTAAACAGAAATGTCAATGAAGGATTCAGTGGAGGAGAAAAGAAGCGCAATGAGATTTTGCAGCTCGCGGTACAGCATCTATGTACTCTGTAACTTGGCCATTTTCCTAACCCATCAAAAGTTGTTTTCATAATGTTCGTTTGGCTGATTCTTGAAATCTTTCGGCTACAGTCGAAATTCTGTTGCCAAATTTTTCTTTACTTTCTTTGTCATATTTTCTCAATGGAATGTGATACTTCCTAATGCTATTTTAAAGTGTCCTCGGTATATGTTGGAGTCTGAATAAACGTGCATTGAAAAAAAGCATCTCTTTATCCAGGTTCTCGGTGCGGAGTTGGCTATTTTAGATGAAATTGATTCTGGTTTAGATGTAGATGCTCTTCGGGATGTAGCATTAGCAGTTAATGGGCTCCGAACTCCAAACAATTCAATCCTGATGATCACTCACTATTTACGCCTTTTAGAATTCATAAAGCCGACCTATATCCATGTCATGGTAAGGAAGTATTTACTTTTTCCCTTGTGTTCATGTATAATTATGATACTGAAGGTGTAATTAAAAAAATTGCAGTTCAGGTTCAATCTAAACTACAGAAAAAAACCCAATGCTATTTCGGAATTTTTCGAGTCGCCCTGGATTAATTGCATGATTGCACAAAGTGCGAGAAAAGTATATTTATAGAATTTGAAAGATGAATCGACCGTAGAATAGATTTTATTCTGTAGTTGTCGTGTAAAAACGATATTATTATGCTGATTGCTGAGAATGAGAAACAATTATGAATTGCAGGAGAATGGCAGGATAGTGAAGACTGGAGATATATCCATTGCCAAACTATTGGAAAAAGAAGGCTACAAGGCTATTTCTGGCTAACCTTTTGGATGAAGACGTATACTTCTAATTTTGCTCCTTCGACATTGAAAATCGAGTTTTTTCTTTTTTTGGGAGGAAAATCCATTATGGATGGACCAAAATTTGTTGACGACGAGTATTAGTAGTGTGATAGCTCATCTGTTTGTGCAGTTAGATGTTTGTAAATGTATATTAAATACAATTTTTCCTTATTGTCATCTCTTTGCCTTCTTTTCTTTTTTCGTGAAACTTTTAAACTGGATCGTTTGAGTTTGTTCTCCATTAAGTCATAATGGAGTTGGGAATTTAAGATTCTTCAAATTTTGCAAAATATACCCATTGGTCTTCTTTCGCTAGACTAAAGTATATTTTGTGGACTGCAACCGTGTGCATTGTTTTGCAAACGTCCAAAAATTTCAATTGCCAAAATAAATAAATAAAAGTTTTGCAAAAGTCAAAAACTTGTTTTTTTTTTTCATTGCCAAAATAAATAAATAGAAAATAAGTTAAATTGCATACCACGTTTGCGAATTTAAAAAACTTATGTCTTTTATTGTTAAAATAAAAATAAAAAATTAAAATTAAATTGTATAACAAGCGAAATGTTGAAATTTAATTTTTTATAACATTTGAAACACATTACATTAATTAAGTGGACACATTACATTAATTACATGTACCTATGAAATATTTTAAACTATTTGAAATAATAAATCTATTTGAAGCCGTCAGTCCAACCAGCTAAATCTCTTTTAGCATAGGTAATATCTAATTTTGTAAGCATAGTTAATAGCTGATTGTTATTAAAAATAAATTATGTAGGTAAATTTTAATATAAAAATAATTTTTCAATACACCTTGAATTTTTTTTAATTGCATAAGATAATTTATATTTTAATTTTGTATTTATCTATTGTAATAAAAATCACTAAACTATAAATCATACCAAAAAAAATTAGTGATATATATAGAGTGATATTAGATAACAAATTCAATCCAATTAAAAAAATATTTGTAAAATATTCCATGCATCCAAAGTTTTGAACTAGGTTATTGTAAGCAAATATTTTTGTCTTTCTAAAATACTTTAAAAGTTTGAGTAAAATATTCCTGTGCATACATAGTTTTGAACTAGGTTATTGTAAGCAAATATTTATGTTTTTCTAAAATACTTTTAAAGTTCGAGATATGAAACAGAGACTGCCTCTTAGTGTGGCACGAGTCATGATGAAGTAGCAAAAGGAAAGAGAAGAAAAATTTCCAAGAGAGGCGACCATTCCTGTCATTATTTCTTTGCGATTGCACTTTAGTGAATATTATTTTTAAGTTAAATATTACTAATTGCACTTTTGTGAATGTTATTTTTACGTTAAATATTACTAAATTACTTATTTTTTAACAGAATGCAGGACTTGCAAGATTTGGAACTTACGCTACCTCTTGTTGACCTTCGTGCTTTAGTTGCTAGTTTTACAAATTTTGCTTCATTATGAAGCAGCAGCTTGCAATTTAGAAAACAATGAAATTAAATCACTTGAGTGTCTCACTAAAAATACATCACTTGTTCTTACATCATAAAAGCAAAAGCACAAAAACAGCTTACAAATGGAGCACAAGATCAAATTTTTTCATAGCAACTCAAATCAAGTTTTTTCATAGTAATTCACATCACACAGGATGCACAACATAAATGAAAGCCAAAAGTCCACACAAGTTCTCAATCAATTCTTGTATTCATCATCTGCCGACCCAATCTCTCTGCCATCAAGCACACCTCTGAAATGCAAAGATAAAACGGGTCAAGCACGATTCTATTCGAAGGAATTATCAGACAAAAACAATTTACAGTATCAGCAAGAAAAAAACGAAATATTCATCAATTTGCACTTGACTCTTTAAGTTGTCAACAGATATTCAAAAGTAACCCGATCGGACACTAGGAATAAAAGTTGTCGCGACAATTTTTTACGGAAATTCCCTAAAGACTTACCATTTTTGCTTATATATTCTCCAACAAATTCAACCTTCTGGAAACAGAAATTCAAAAGTAAGACGATCAAGCACTAGGCATCAAAGTTGTCATGACAACTTTTTATGGAAATTCCCAAAAGACTTACCATTTTTGCTTATATATATTCTCCATCAAATTCTACCTTCTGGACCGCCTATCTTCACTCTTGTCATCATCATATCTCCTTCCGCTCGAACGTCCCCCCACATATCTATCCCTCTTCAAAGCATGCTCCTTTTCTCTCTCATCCTTCATACTAGAATTATCCTCTTCCTTTTCTCTCTCTCGTCCTCTCTTACTTTCACGATCTCTTCTATACGGATCCTCATCGTCTGCTCTCTCTCTTCTACTCCGTCTATGCCTTTCATGTTCCCGATTCTCACTCCTATCCACATTTTGTGACTCGTTCCTATTACGTGTTTTATCTTCAGGATCACGGCCTTCGACATTGCCACTTAGTCTTGGGGGCCTGCTATTATTATTATTATCTTCAGTACCCTTAGACGATCGGTATTCCCCTTCATAGCCAGATTCTCTTGCTGAGTCCCGCTTTTTGTGCTTCTGATGGGGCTCCTCATCCAAACTTCCGTCATCTGTTTTCCTCTTACCTCTCGTCTTATCTCGACTCTCATCTCCATAATCATCTCCCTTTGATTTGAATACTTGCTCCAGTTTCTTGAATGTTTCCAGCCCATCAGCTTCATTCTTTTGTTTATCTCTTCCATCAGTTTCACGAGAATAATCCCTCTCTCCACGCTTGCCACTCGAGCCGCCAACGTGATCACTTTGATATTTACCCAAGGACTTAACTCCTAGGGCGCTATCGCGATTTCGATCATTGCTTCTATTTCTGTCAGTGGTATTATCCTCACGTCTGCTTTTCTCGTATTTACCAGAATCATCGACCCGATTTTTTCGGTCCTCTCTCTCCTGTCTGCCACGGGAGTCTCTCTCGTATCTCTCTCTCCTCTTTCTGGTTCCTTCGTCGGAATCCGAGTCACGATACCTCCCAGCATCTTCATCTCCGCTTTCGGCCCGACTTTTTCTACTATTTTCAAGAGGGTCCTCCTGTGCATGGGATTTCTTCTCTTGAATCATTTTCTTGGATCGGGTGCTTTCATCCTTCTGGTATCTATCAGCATCAAACTCGTCATCAGAATCATGTCTCCTCCTGCCCTTGGGAGGCTCTTTCCCCCACACAGTTCTGAATTTATTTTTAGGGTCTTCATCAGAAATATGGTCACTGCCATCCGAGTCAACTTTCCTTCCCTTCCTCGTTTGTTTCGTCCTCTCACGTTGTTTAAAGTCATCATCCGAGCTGTATTTATCGCGGGAATTCTGTTTTCTGCTGATCAACTTTGTACTCTCCCGTGCATGGTCTCCTTCAGAGCTGTCATCTTCAGCATCGTGCCGCTTACTTTTGGAAAAACTCTTTGGCTGTTGCTTTCCACTTTTCGAGCTTCTTCTAGGCTTGTGGTCAGCATCAGAATCATACCGCCGACGGGCATTCTCATAACCTTTGTCTGAATCAGATTCTGACTCAGAGGAACTAGTGACATGTCTTGCAACTTTCTTATGTTTACTTGACAGTTCTTTCTTTCTCTTCCTAGCATCGATGTCAGAATTATCACTACTATCGTCAGCTCTAACCTTTTTCTTGTTCCTTCCTCTAGTCCCATGTCTCTCAATGCTATCCGAATCGGATGAGTCATCATGGCTTCTTTTGCTTTTTTCCTTACTTTGGTGCTTTGTTTTGTCTCTACCAGATTCAATTTTCTTTGAAACCTTCACATCTCTTCTGTCCTTTTTGTGTAAATTTCTAGGTTCATCTTCAGTGAGACCCTCTACAAATTCGCCAACCTCCATATCACGGAGCTTCTTTTCTCTATCAGCTTCAGATTGTATTCCAAGAGCAGCCTTTAAAGTTTCCATCTGCTTTTCCTTCCGTGCAGCTACCTGGTGGGTCTGTGTCTCTGATATCCTAACCACGCGCAAAACATAGATTCAGAAAATCTGGGAGAACTATTTCTAGATATATAAAACTTATATACGTTACAGATAGTCTTTAGTTTTTCAAGTTTAAATTCAAGAGCACTCAAGATTAGCTCGAGAAGATTCAAGGTGTTCTTGAAGAACCAAAAATCTGAAAAAAAATAAATAAAGATCAAGCCTTTGAATTGAATTAATAAATACATGAACAGCCCGGAGAAGAACAAAGATCTATTATACAAAACCATGAATTCATCTCAATGTTATCAATGGCGGCAGATTAAAGTCCAACCAAAAACTACATCGTTCACAATTTTCTCAAGGCAATTAGGTTCCAGACATGGCATCAAGATGACCACCATTTGGTAACACTGATTCAGGTTCTTCATGTTCTTGGAAAATTGCAGCATTTTATTCAAAATCAAAACAAGGTGGATTATATGTTGGCCCTCAGATTTGCTTTATTTCAATCAAATTGCATTAGATTATTGAAAATCAACTCATACAAAGCTTTTGCATTTACAATAATAGACAAGCTAAAGTGGGGAAGTTTCAAACCGGGATCGCATCAAAATGTCATAGGATAATCTCCAAAAACTCGTTTGAGCTCAAATCTCCACCGAACAATTTTTAAGACCCTTAACAAGCAACCAAAAATTTCCTTGAAGGCTGCAACTGATTCTAATAAAACCATCTTCACTTCAAATACTCAAACGAGACAAAAAATGATGAAACACACACCTTATGCTTGCATATAATTGGAATAACAAACAAACACACACATACATGAAATTTCCACCAAAAGGAAGAAGAACCTACTTTTCAGATGCCACGAGTGCATTATCTCCCCCTTCCTCATTCTCCTTCGCCTCGAGCGATTTCCTCGCCTCATCCAGCTTCTCCTCGATCTCGGCTTCCGTGTACCCCTGATCTGACAGCTTCTCCTGCAGCGCGAGGAGCTTGAGCTCGATCTGCCGCTTGCGGTCGTGCTCCAGTATCTCCTTGTTTGGACCCCGGGTCACGCCCGCGGCCCCCTGGCCCGATTCGAAACCCTTGCTCGGGCCGGTGACGACTCGGTTCGCCTTCGCCCTCAGGTTGAAGGCGTTCGCCTGAACGTGGCCGCTGGTGCCGGAGCCCCGAGGGGTCTGCAACCCTATCCCGTTGTACATCGTTAGGGATCCAAATCTCGATCAGATTTCAACGATTGTGCAAATCAGTCGAGGCTTAATTGAGAGTGTGGAAAATTGGATGAACAGCCGACGAGGAGAGGTAAGTGTTAGGGCATAACATGGGCGGTAAGAGGATAATGGGTCGTTGATTTGGGCTGAAATTCATTGGGTCGGACATTGATTGGGCTCAATCCTTATGTCTCACTAATGGGTTTGTTACTTGCGCTATGACGAGAGCTGTTCTATAAAATTTATAAACTTGTATTATGTAATATTATTCTTTTTTAATATCATGAATTATGGTGTATAATAATTAATTTTCATAATTTTTTTAATTGTGATAGTTGATACATTATTAATTTATTTGTTTAGTTTGAATTTATAAAATTATATGGATGAATTTTCTTATTTGTATTGGTTAGTTTATTATTTAATATTGTTTAGGCTTAATTAGTCTATTACCATTCAGGTTTCTGAAACATTTATTGGCCAAACACACGTAAAAGAAGTTTACGATGAGCGTAAAGTATATCATATTTTATAACAAATAATTTTGACATAAAACATATAATTTACTCATAAAAAATAATTAATCCCAATAATATCATTTCTACTTATTGATATTTCCTAACAAAACATTTGCAACAAAAAAAATAATAAATTTATGAACCCAATAATATATATAAACCTTCTTGTGGCAAAACTACTCAGTACGCAACGCAACATACATAAAAAAAAAAGAAAAAAAAATGAGAAAAAAAATATATAATAATGAAACATACTGTAAACATAATAATCTTGCACTTCCAAAACAGCACTTGAATGAAAAATAAAAAATAAATAAAAAAAATAAAATAAAAAATCTAATTTAACAGACTTTAGTGAGAACTAAAATAAACTTTTATCAGGTTTCTAAAGGGTAAATAGCAATCAATGCCTCTCTACTACTAAGCAGATCTCAACTAGTAGTATACAACAATGCCAGTAATATACTAGGGCTCATCTGGCAATTCGAAATGAAGCTATTTTCATGTGCATAGCTACCAAAACTCACAGCCCGACCCAATATGAACGACCGTTTGTGTTGTGCATAGGCAAAGCTGATGGTGATGTCACGCACCACTCGTACCAAACCTGTTTCGTTTCAACACAGATTTTGTTAATCTGTTCAATTTTGAATTTTCATTGCTGGAAAATTTTAATATGATAAAATTAGTAAAATTGACAATAGAGCATTCCCACACCAGTCATTATTATATATACAGTAATTTGTGTTGTCCTGCTAATATATCAGGTAATGTTTGGTAAACCTAGTTGCTAAGCTAGCTGATAAGATGATAAGAATAAGTGAATTTCGAGGCCGATAGCTTATGGCAAAAAAACTAGCTTATATGATAAAAATATTCCATAAAATTAGCTGATAAGTTGGCTGAAATAGAAATAAAAATTTCAAATGGCTTAGTTGAAAAGTTACTCAAGGAAACTTAAGAGATAAGCTCGAGCTTTTTAAAAAAGCTCGTCCTACCAAACCAAACTTACTTAAATACAAGAAGCTTATAAGCTAAAGAAATAAACTATAAGTGCTTACCAAACACACTCCTACTTATATTTTTCAGGTTTTGGGCACTACTTTAGCAATGATTATCTTCTTTCTTCTGTAAGACTCTAAGTTCTCAATGCATTCTCAAAAACATATGTTCCTAGTGTTTGATAAAAGCTTCCTACTAAGATACCTTGGTAGGACCACAACAGCGCCAAAAATGAACGTCCAAAGGTGTACCAGGTCTAATATACACTGGTGTCCTCAACGGGAAAAATATAGGGAACCTGTATATAAAAAGGAATAAACCATTCACTTCTCTAAAATGCACTAATATTTATACTACAGCTCATTGACAGCTCATTCTAAAGAACCATTTTTTTTTTTTACGACGGATCCTTTTTTTTACTCCTTTTACTTTCCACATACCAGCTAAACATATTTGGGGTAGCTGTTGATGGCTCAATACCAAGGTGTACATCTTTGTACAGTGTAGCATCAAAATAACCTGCAAATCCTGTTAATGAAGCGAACCGCATCATATGTTTTTCAATTATTATTCATGAACATCCACAAAATCCAACATAATAAATAAATAATCTATAGCAAAAGAAAAGAAATTGGGTTTCACCACGACATACCGTGTATCAAGGCTGAGCCAGTGTCACTTGGGATGTCAAAGCGAAGCTTCTTATAACGCTGGTTGTTCGTCTTAGTCAAGTCTTCTGGATGGACAAAAGTGAAGACCTGATCAAACAAATAGATATGTGAGCTGCCAGAAGCAGTAATGCCACACAAATAAATTTTGTAATAAACAAAACAGTATAATGCATCCAGAAGAAGCAACTAACAGGCTGATTGGGTGCAAGTCTTGCCACACGGTGCAGCTTGACAACATAAGCAGTTTCAAAGTGCACAAGATCTTTATGTGACTTTATCTGGATTGATTCCAAAAGAAGTGAACAAATATAAGTAACTGATAATCAAGGAAAGAGTTGGAACAAATGAATAATTATAATCGAACATGTAGAAGAAAATGTTACATCATTATACAGCTTGCATGCAGTCACCGGCTGAATGTAACTCGTATATCTGCCAAGCAGATAGAGGTAACAATTAACTGGTCAACCTCAAAATTCTCAGGCTAGTTTTTGTAACAAAGATAAACTCGACTCAAATAAAAACACGCAAGTGCATGTGGAGTGTTGAAGCACTTTCAGCAAACAATAATGCTGGAAGTTGTCTTAAGGATACGAGTATTTAGGTAAGCAAAGCCCTTGGTTTTAGGATATGCAAAATACATTTATTGGAAGTTTCAGTGGTTATTTCCAAGGTTTTACAACTGAACAGAACATTACTTCAGCGAACAATGAACAAATACAGTAGAAAATCAATGAACATAACAAAGCTTAATAAAAAAAACAGATAATTCTATGATTTTGCCAGTACATGTTAAGCATAAAGTCTAAGCAACCACATTCCCAATATTTCAAAACTCCTTTTTCAGAAAGCAAAACAAGAATAATAAAAACATGCAACAATATTGGCATAAGCCCACCAACAAAGACCAGACCAGATGGAAAGGACCCAGCATAAGTGAAAAACTCATTTTTCAGAAATAAAATCAAGAAAAATAGAAAAACATGCAACAATATTGCCAGAAGACCACTAACAATAACTATACCAGATGGAAAGGACCCAGCATAAGTGGATGCTAGACTCCGTGATCCAGTAGTTAATTTCACGTCAAAATAGAAAAGGTAAGACAAGAGGAATAACACTTACGATGACGGGATAGAAATTCCATCTTCCTTCAAAAACCTCTGGGCACCATCAAGACATTCAGGTGAAAGCTCATTGTCCCCAAAAGATCCCAGCAACTCACTTACCTATATCAAGTAAAACAATAAGAGAAACTTAGCAGATGTAATTATTAGAACATAACATCAAATAAGCTTCTTCCTTTAGAACCAACAACACGGTTAGATCGATACCAAGATATCAGCTTTCTCTGGAGCATCCCAATGTCGCATATCACAGGAAATAATGGTAACCACATCTTCCCAGCCCTCTAGCTTCACCAAACTCTGTTTAAAAACATATGTAAACAGTACTAGCATCAGTAGCTTATACCTAGCATGAATATGGATAAATAGTAGCATCCAGTTTACTGGAATTTGGATGTAGAAAATCTTCATTAACATTTTAGTTGCAAATCCATAAATGTTTTTTCAGAAAAGCTCTAATTTGAGAAACTCTATCCTGTATAATTTGTGAAATTGTATCATGTGATGTAGAACTTAGCATCTGATGTGGCCAAAAGCATAAGCACTGAGATTGTAAGTTCCAGACACTTGAGCTCCATTTCACTTATATAACACATATATGATGCTAAGACAATTTGACAGTTTGTTGTAAGTATAAGCAGTCTTCCAGTTGTTACGGCTATACTGTACACTACCATGAGCCAGAGAAATTAATTGTTTCTTATTTCATCTGTTAACTGAATATACCTTTTGTAGAGAACATAATACCATGGACTATATATTTGGTCCTACAGATGATCCCTCCCTATATATTAATTCAAAATGTGTTGAGCCTAAGGGGCGGGCTCACATGCTTCGATTGCTGACATGGAAAAAAGTTTATGTTTCGGAATGTTGTTTGTATATTAATTTTCTGCTTTGGAATTAGGCTTGGTATAGACATAAATAACTTTTTTCAAACTTGGTGATTGTACATTTAATTTTGTTAATTTTTTTCTTTTAGTATAAATTTCCTTCTTAATTTGGACAAGTAGCAATCTTACCATCTTATAATTTTCTCTTATATTTCTCTCCTAAATTACGATTTACAAATCACTTTCTGCACCGTCTATTCCTCTTTTTTTTTTCATTAATTAGTCCATTTGCAATAACTTTTAAAAATATATTTTTTAACTCAACACTCGTGTAGTACACGGGTATTGTACTAGTTAGTTTTATATTCAAACAACAATTAAGTGTTGGGAAAGATAGAGTAGGATCATAACCATTGGGTACAACTTCTCAACCAATAGTCGTACCCTCAAAACTATAATAGAGATTGTACAGCAACTCTACCTGCATAAATGAAATTCTATACAAAGCAAGTTCCATGTATCAACATATATACTTCCACACGTTTAACTCAGTGAAAGAGTCAAACCAGAAGAGAGAGCCGAGGGGCTTAATAGGGAAAACAGAAATTAGCATCAGACATGAGCATATTCTGGAAAACAGCCGTATACATTAGCAAGATGAAACGTTTCTACAACTTACATGGAGTGTTACAACTGCATTTGGATTTTTTTCTACAGCATATACTTTTAATTTCCGTTCCGTCTCATCTGCAGCCTGTCAATCCAGGTTAGGAGAGAAGAAACAACCACAAGTCAATCAGTCACGAGTTTATGTCCATTTCCATACTCTAATTTGCAGAGAGAAAATACCTGCAATGATGCTCGGACAAGAGGCCCTCGTCCAGCACCAACAACCATCAAGACCTGTGACAGGGAAAACAGAATATTAACAAGATCAGTAGCTTAATTCAGATCGCTTACCTTGGAATAAATGCTTAACAAGAAATACGGAACTCACAGTTGTCACTGTAGAGGCATTTTCATCTGGAACTCTGTCAACCAAAGCTTTGGCAACTGCCTTTTGGTACTGTCATAAAGGGATGTGATAACAATAAAAAAAATCAAATTCATAAACATCAAGTTGGATTGCATCAAACATTCATTTGAAGTTTGAAGTATACAGAAGAGACAAAGAAGAAAATAGATACCTACTATGTTACCACGGCAAGAAAATAGAACGAGAATCCTTAGATAAATATCTTGCAAGAAAAGATGCCAGTGACACTTATACCGTGCCAGAATATATATCTCCATAAGAGTTACAGTACACTATCCTGCTTCTTTTAAATATTCATTCACATTCTGGTCTATACCAACAAATAGCAGGAGTACCACTTTTACGAACAAATGAGCTTAAAAACTTAGCCAAATTATTGCATACCTGGCTATATTTAACCATATCCTTTTCAAATGTTTCATATGTTTGGGCCTCCAAATTATCCATGAGAGGCTGCACATTAGGAAAAAAAAATCGTAAGTAAGTTGGTGGAATCAAAAGGCCAAAATTTATTGGTGAAAAAAAAAAGCCAAAAATTTACATAGAAGCTTTACCTGTAAGGGTGATTGCAGATAATCTCTGTACCCAAACTGGAACGTAACAAAGAGAAAGTACAAACACACATTAGTAAACAATTAAGGTACAAGAAAGTTAAGAGGTAAACTCCCAAGGTCACTACCTCAAAGCGTTCCTGTTCAGGTAAGGTATCCATCTTTTGATATAAAAATGCAACATAGTCCAAGTATGACTTTAAAGGGTGTCTCCAACCACCTGAACAAAATCATTATGAACTTATTTAGATGAGAAGGAAAATCATCCATTCAAAACGTCTCAAGAACCAATAACTTGATCAATAAACAATCCCAGGCTAAGGACTGCAGTTAAACAGCAAGTTGAAATTCTATGGAACAATTAGATATAAATGTGCTAACAAGGTCTTACCCTCAACATTTGATTCTGAAGAACCCAAAGGTACATTGTGTACTGGTCGACCAGAAATCACTATCTGTACAAGTACAGAAAATAAAATATATGTACAAAAGTCAAAACTACAGTTTTTTAAACACTCCAGATCTAAGTTGGGTAGTCATCAGTAATGGTTTGTGATAGCTGCGGAGGAAAACATCATGAAGATTTAACTAGACTTTCATTTTATAAGGAAACAGGATATAGATTGGAGCGCTACGAAATAAGAAACAAATTAAAGGTGAAAATGGTTAACTAATTTCAACCACTGAGATTACCAAGTTCATCAGTAATGGTGTCATATACAAGTAAAAGCATTTTCCAAATTACAAAAAATATCATACAAATCCAAAATAAGAACACTCCGACGCTTAAATAAATACCACAATAGAAGCACACACCCTAAAAGGAGGATAGAGAATTAGGATTCAGGACTAATGTGTTAGACCAGTACCTGAATTGGATGATCAAAAAATGCAGTTGTTAATCGCTGGTGGCGCTTTGACAGACAAGGATAACCCCGTGCATTCGTTAGGAAAGACTGTCAAAAAGGCAATTCAACCATTAAGGCAAAAGATGACCTTGAGAACCCAAACTGGCTAAAACACTGAGATAACAACCAAAAAAATAGAAGGCCTGCCAAAAATATACTTCCGAAAAATACCCGTTATATTACATTTGTATTTATTATGGCAGCCCTAACAGGCTCTCCAAACCATCGTGTAATTGAGGAAGCTGATGGTAATGATGGCCTGACCAATATAAGGAGAAACTGCCTCATTGAGCAGTTAAATATATAAACATTAAATGGATAGACCATAGGCATTTACTATATTTTGTACGCTCACAGAATATCAAGTGCAACGGAGAGCTGGCTATGATGTTCACAAAGAAGCCGGAAGGAATTCCACAATTCCCATGAATCAGTCTGGCCATTGCCCTGTAGGAAAAATAAAACACAGCATACGACTAAGGCAAAAGTCGCCAGGACAGACCACAAATGATAATGAAACAAATTATGAAGTGATAAAAGCAAAAACCAGCCTATTTTGAATGACAATAAAAGCTTATATAAGAGTACAGACTCTTAAAAGCATAAAAACTATTCTACTCTAAACAAATCTTATCATTCACTTCACTGTGTGACACAGAGGAAAAAATTATACGAGCTAATTAGGTAAAGCAAGGGAAGCAATGAGAAACTGAATGAGAAGACTGTGGAATGAGCCACATTGACCTGGTTATTGGCAAATAAGACAGTGCCAAAATTTCAAAACCAACACAAAGCCACAAATCACCGGAAATAAACATAAAATTGAAAGCCCTGTTAACAAATATTTAGATGAAATTAGATTGTCATCACTCACCGACAAAATTGGGTTAGAGGCCTTTATGTCATCCTCAGATTTCTCAAGTGGAATCCTAAGCCACAACTTAACATGGAAGTAAATAATAAGAACAAATGCAAAAGCACAATTCAAGTACATGTAATTGGGAACCTATTTACCAACACAGTGGAAAGTATTCAAAACTCAAAAGCATACCTGCATATTGCCTAAATTTTGCAAAATCTGGTTCAAACATTTTGCATAATTAGCACAAGAAGTTCCCTTCGGTGTAGGCAATAGGCAAGCCTGCAGAAGAAAAATACAATATATTTTAGCAAGGTACACAACAGTGATTGATCAATCATGAAAATAAAGCATGGAATGTCAATGTAACGCATGAAAATCAAGGAATACACTAAAAAAACATTATGAGATTGCAGAATAGTACAGAAGCCTAATATCATAAATCACCTGCAAAGATAGATGAGCAGCCCAAGCTATTTCTTGTTTCAGCGTAACTTCTGAATCTTTCCGAAGAGTCTCATCATCAGAATCCAAGTCGATCCATGAGCTTATTTTGCCTAGGTAACAACTGAAGTTAGTTACAGGAGTTCATATTTCACATAAAATAATTCATATTACAACTGACCATACATGTGACAAACAAGTTTGCCCAGATTAAAGATAAGAATCTGGAACAAGGATAACAAAAAATAAAATTTAAGGAAAAGGTACAAACCAACAACATGACTACTCCACTGAGAAGGGCTTAGAACTAAGTCTGACCCAGCAAATGGCAAAGCTTGAGATCTGCTAGTTTCACTGCCCACTAGACTAGGCCTATAGTTTGGATCCATCTGCATCGAGGAATTTATAAGTACGGGTGGGCAGGACATAAACTTTTTAAATTCTCATTATCTCATGGATATGAATCTCATTTAATGAATAATTAATTTAGATAATAAAAGAAGCACTGACAATGGTGAATAATGGATAATGAGGCAGTATTGCAATCATTGTATCAACCACACATACTTCAAAAAGTAAATTACTATTCATCAATTTATGAAATCCAAGGTTAGCTCATGATAAACAGACAGATAACCATATACATGCTGTTCACAACATGTTATGTAGTTGACAGCCCCAGGGGAACACTAAAGTCTCTCCCATATGAGGCCATCAACATAATGATCTAGGTGAGCCTACTGACCATTCACACAGATAGACAGCCTTTCAGCTGATGTATGACTGGCTAATTGGTCACCAACAATAAATAAAAACAAAATCCACAACACATCACGACAAGATCAAGCTCAAGCTATTCAATCCCCTTTTCCATATTTCTCACTCTTCTACCTCATTATCTTTCTTCACAAATTAACTCATTCTAGCTATTCCTTTCAAGGTGTGAGATAATACGCACACCAAGTAACTGAACAGGAGTCAATTATAGCCGGAGGCACTTCACTACAGGCGTTATCCAAACACACTGCCAGTAAAACGAAGATGATGCAGCACACAGCACAATGACCCGGGCACCCAAGTACAACAAAGCAATGCAGGATGTACAAGTGAAACCCAACGAAGTCAATCAACTTACCAGGGTAGCGAGAACGAAGTCGAAGCCGCCATTGATGTTGAACGAAAGGAGGTTCGGCATGTCATCGCTGAACTCCGCGTCTACACCGCAGTAACGCGACTCGCTTTTGTCTCCGGCATACCTCTCTCCCAGCGGCATTTTTTTCTCTCTCTAAATACCTTCGCCGTTGTCTTGAGAGGTGGTCTGAGAGGGAAGGGTTTTAGAGAGGGTTTATTCAGTTCAAATGGTGGCTAGGGTTTTTGAGCTCATTTTCGTTGCTTGTTCTGACTGTGCAGTCCACTGTACAGTCCACCTGAATTTTTTATTGAAGCTTTCCTTTTTCGTTGCTGTTTATTTCTTTTTTCTGTATGCTGTGAAGGATTTTAAAATTTTTAATTATTTTTTTTTAAAAAAAAAAAGGAAAAAAGAAAAATCGCGTTCAATATATGTTCGATTAATTTTATTATAGTCAATACCACTAATTGAAATCAATTACATCCCCCAATAGTTTCCGAGCATATATACTCTAATTTGATAGATTGAATTCTTATTATAAAGTAATTATATTATATGTTAAAAGTTACTATAATATAAAACTCGTGCAAATGACGATTTTTATTTAAATATAAATAATAATACATTTTTAAATACACTGCTTTTAACTTTCGTTTGTTTCAGTATTAGATATTTTAGTTTTAAAGTGTACAAATTGTCTACTAGTGTATCATAACAAATAAAGGGTTTACTTTTAAAATAATAATTATATTATTTAAAAAAATGAATGTCCAACGAACAATTTATAAACTATTTATAAAATCAATAACATAAATGCAATATTTCAAAACCAAACTCTATATCTATCAAACTATAAATAGATGTATCACACTTTAACAGTTGTCACTTTCGTAATATTGCCGACGTAGACGGTAATCTCCTATCTACTAAGTCGTCGAGTTTATCGGATCTCCTACAATGGATTGTATACATGATTGGTGACTCTGGTATCTACACATTAAGTACTGTAAATAATCAAGCTAGTTATGTTTCCACAACAAGTGAATAAGATTTACCTTAATTGTTCTTCTTGATGAGATGACAATTGGTCTTCCAATGTTTTTACTGCTTGCACCGATGACATTTGGCTTTCGACTTCTTTACCTCTTATTGAGTCGTAGGTCCCAGAGCTACGGCACGGGCTACCATATTTGCCAAACTCGCGGGCTTCTTTTTTTTCTTATCCCATTTTAACACATAAGAAGAAGGACCCGCCTATTCAACAACTAGTGTTATGAGGAAACAAGTCATTCTATCGCTTAGAGTTCGCCAACAGTTCCGCAAGTGAATACATATGTTTATTTAGTTCAATCAGAACTATTCAAAATTTTTTGGCACACTTTGGATGATGATATCAACCTTGATTTCTCCGTCGATTTCAACTACAAGGACATCTGCTTATTGAATTGGGCATCATCATGAGGACACGTTCCCCTACGGGGGTACCCTCAGTCATGTTTGCCATCAAGACTCTCTTAGGCTCTTGTCGAGCAGGTCGACTCTAGTAACCAAATAGTCCCATAAATTTAAGCACCATATCGAAAGTCGTGGCCACATACTGATGCTGGTGTTACAAAACATTTACATATATGCCATAATGCAGCACCACACCATCTCCTTAGTTTTTTTGCCATTTCTTATAAAGTTATTTATCCTCTTCACCAATATTTTTCATATGGCTTATCTAGACACAAATCATAAACACATTAATTTGTACCCCTCTACAGCCAACACCATGTTCAAGTTTTTTTTTCGTCAACATAGTTGGGATGAGATACTGCCGATAAATTTTATCATTCATGACACGTATTGTTGTACCTTTTGGTATCGCATCTTGCACATGGGCTTGTCGTTCATCGTGCAGTATTTCTCCAAAAATCAGACATGAATGCTAACAAAGTAAAAATCACCTTGTGATCTTTATGATTATAGGAGCGCCTAAGTTGTAATTTTGTTGTGTGTGTGTGTGTGTGTGTGCATACTTGTCTTCTAGATAATAATAAAAAAAGTACGAACAGAGATTGATGACGAACGACTCGATCAAACCACGAACACGATCCTCGAACAAATTCTAATAAATAACTCAAATAATAAACAAAGTCGAACACGTGAAACACGCTCGGATCGTAAGACGAAATTGCCCATGATTTTCGACAAACGTCTTCAAGATACAACAACTTTTATCTTTGTATAAAAGTACTTCAAATATACAAGATTTCAACGAACTTACTTGTGTTTAGAACTCTCAATAAATAAAAGAAATAATAATGGACACAAAATGAGCATGAGTTATCTTATTTTTTATATCAATTTCTATTTTTATGTTAAGTTCTCTAGTGTTATATGTGATCAGGCCCAAGATGAATGACTCCGCTTCCTCATCAGGTCCTCTTCGATTTTGAATGGTAGGTCGGTGGGTGTGGTTCAGTCCATGCACTTGAGTTCGCCGGTACCTGCAAAGCGCGGATCGGAATAGTGTTCCGTATTTTTCTGCTCGTCTCCAACGAACCCTTATTAAGTCCTAGCGTGTTTGGATTATCCAAACATTAGTTAAAGATAGAATGTTTGTTAATTCAACAATCTTTGAGTTACATAAACTCGAATTCCCTTTATTTCAACCATAGAATTAATTTTTGCGCTCAATCTAAAATGGTATTGAGTTTTGTTTTATATCTTTCACTAATAAAATGTAGAATCGTAAAATCGATATAAAACTCATAAGACCAATAGAATACTTATTGGCTTTATAAGAATTATTACTCCAGGGTATATTCTCCTTAATTTCGCATGCTTGTAACTTCCAGAAAAAGCATAGGTGCTCGGTCGTGCGGTCTGGTACATGTAAGAGAATTATACATGCATTTTTTTTCCAATCGATAGAATTTATTTATGCAAACACATAATTACAATCGGCAAACTAACCGAAAATAAGAGGTCTACCCAAGGTAGCCTAAATGCCACAATACAAACCGAAAACAATAAACTAAGAAAACTCCCACAAGGAGAATACACGTTCCCAAAGGAATAATACACGCACAGAAACCCACACGCAGAGATACCCTAACAACAACACAACTCAACATAACGCTACAAACACACACACACAACACAACCAGAAAACCTGACAAATAAACAACCAAACCAAAACTAAAAACAAGCCCTCCTCTACAGTCAAACAATTGCCCCAAAACTGCCAACACGAGCCAGACACCCGACTAAAGAAGCCAAAGCGAGTAAGGCAACAGTCCGGAAAGCGAATTTTGAAACTCCCTTCTGCCGAAAGAGCTGGGTAACTACACCCACCTAACTCCCGAGCTAAGCCTCACACCCCTACGGCTCCCGACCATGAAAGCACGCGAAGGCCGTCTCTCCAACCGACCTCGTCAATACCTCGGTCGCCTCGAACAGAAAGCCCAGGCCACCAAGACCCGCTCGGACTCCCAATCCCAGAATAGCCAGACGAAAAACAGAGGAAGGTGAGGCGACGACCCAAGCCTATCCGCTACCAATCACGGACAAACTCGGCCTCCCTCTCGACGCCGCCAAGCCGCTAGGCAGCCCCACCACCGCCATCGCTACTAGAAAAGCGCCGAGCAGGACCGACAACCCGTGACAAAACAAAGAGGAGGAGGATGCCCCGGTGCCCGTCCTCCTCTGGCAACGAAACAAAAGACTGAAGAGGAGGCAGCGACAAAGAGGATGAGAGGGTTTTTGGTGAGGGAATTTGGGGAAAATTCGGAGTCGGTGTTATGTAATAGTGTTTTGTCAGAACAAAATTTCAGTTCATCGGATTTTATTCGGTTTTATCGTTGTATCCTGGGAAGCAGACGTTCATATAGGGTGAATATGTTTTAAGGACATTTTATTTCTATTAAAGAACTATCTTATTTTTTCTTTTTCCGATAAAGGTTCCTACAACAAAAACTTAAAAATAACAATGTAATATAAACTAATTTCTCATCATCCATGCAGTCAAGAATGGAGAGAAAATCACATTAAAAGAAAGGAAAATATTAAAAAAAAAAATAAAAATATACCCAATAGATTTTGATACAACTCTTGTATTAATGGGTAAGAAAAGACTATACATCAAATTATGGTTGCAAAGCCTCAATTCTAACAACATTATGCTACAAATAGTTTTAATTTTTTCCCAATTTTGTTCAAAAGCTCAACTCCATTCCATCTGTGGTATCTGGAAATGTAACACACCTGTACACTTTGCATTTTGAGCACAACACTCTTCCAATCTGCCAACAAGAGGAAA